TCACGTTCTTGCACGAGGCAAACAATATGATGCACATACTAGTCTGATTTATTTCATTTACGAGTATGGTCTCTAATTGCATCCATTTACCTATCAAAGCCTGAAAATTTATCTTTTATAGCTGAGTAATACTCTATTGTATAAAAATGCCATTTTTTAAAAATTCATCATTTGATTGGCATTTGGGTTGTTTTCAAGATTTAACCATGACAGACTGTGCTGCAGTAAACATGGGTGCACATATCACTGTGGTATGATATTTTCAGTTCATTTGGAACTTTTTTTTTTTTTCCCCCGGAACCGGAAATTGAACTCAGGTCCTTGAACTTGCCAGGCAAGCACTTCGGTTCATTTGGAAAGACACCCAAGAGGGAAATAGTTGGGTTGAATGGGACCTCCAATCCTAGCTTTTGAGGAATTGCCTCACTGATTTCCATAGTGGTTGTACCCATATACACACCCACCAACAGTGCAAAAGGGCCTCAAACATTTGTTATTGGTTGACTTCTTGATAATAGCCATTCTTGCTGGGGTGAGGTAGAGTCTCAGAGTTGATTTAATTTGCATTTCTCAAATGACCAATGATGTTGAACATTTTTTCATATATTGCCATTTTTATTTCTTCATCTGAGAAGTATATATTCATCTCAGATGCCCAATTTTGGATTGGGTCTTTGAATTTTAGGGGCCTGGTTTCTTTTTTTTTTTTTTTAATTCTTTATATGTTCTAGATAGAAACTCTTTGTCTGAAGGACAGTCAGCTATAATTTTTTCCCAGTATGTGAGTTTTCTTTTTACTCTTTTGGAGATCTGCTTTGAAGTGCAGAAACTTCAAAAAGATGAGATCCCAGTTATTGATTCTTTGAAGTATTTCCCATGCAGTTTGGTTTTTGTTCATTAACTCTACCTGCTTACCCTATGTCTTCAAGTTTTCAACCTGTTTTCTCATCCAGTACATTTAGTATTTCTGTTTTAATATTTAAATGTTTGGTCCATTTTTTACTTTAGTGCATGGTGACAGAAATGGTCTAATTTTCATCTTGGGCATGTGGAAAGCCAATTTTTCCAGTAGCATTAGTAAAGAGTCTTTCTTTCAGTGAGCATGTTTGACCTCTTTGTCGAAGATAAGATGACTGAGTGTGTTTGTAGTTGTGTCTGCATCTTCTAATCTGTGTCACTGATTCTCAGGTCTGTCTTTTTTTGCCAGTACCATGCTGATTTTATCACAATAGCTTATAATTTTAAGTCAGGGATTGTGATGCCTCCTGCCTTGTCCGTGTTGCCCAGAACTGCATTTGGTATTCCGAGTCTCTTCTGGTTCCAGACAAATTTTAGTAATGTTTTCTTTAGGTCTGTGAGGTTAACTAATGGTATTTTAATTGGTATTGCATTGAATCTGTATAACAGTTTTTGTAGTAGGGCTATTTTCACAATGCTGGGTCCTCCTATGCACAAGCAAGAAATATTTTTACATTTTCTGAGATCCTCTTTGATCTCTTTTCTCGGAGTACTGTAATTTTCACTGTGTAAGTCTTTTACTTCCTTGTGAGATTGACTTATAAATATTTCTTTTTTTATTTTTCGATATTGTGAAAGGTATGGTTTCCCTGATTTGTTTGTTGGTGTGTTTGTTTGTGTGCAGAAATACTATTGATTTTTGAGTGTTAACTCCTTTGTCTTTTGTACTCACTAATCAATAGAGTTACTCTTCCTTCATAGGCATTATTTATTTGTACCTTTTATGGGTCAGCTTTTTGGACTCCACAGATAAACAGGGTATTTTTGCTCATATAGAAACTCTTAGAGTAAATGAATGAGCTATTTGGATGCATTATCTAGCTTCCCCTGTATGTCTCTGACCTCCCCAGAACTAGGCTCCTCTGGAGTAACCTGCATTTGTAGTCTCCACCTTTCATAAAGTCTTGCAGCAAACAATCTGCAGGTTTTTGAATCTTATCTTCCCCTCTCCCACCCCTGCCCCAGCTATACTCAGATTACAGTGACCTGTTTGAAATTCACCTTACTACATTCTCCCACATTTATTTGACTGTTATCCAGCTGTCGTCTGGAAGATTTCTCTGCTTTGTCTTCCCTAATACTGAACCATTCTTCCTGTTTTTCCTTTAACATTTCTAAGCTTTCTATAACTGTCATTTGGTAGTTATTTTTTGTTTTCTGTCCATTTCTAACATGATTCTACAGTTTTTCTTTCTCAGAATCTTCTATGCCCTGCTAAAGGTTAACCTAGGTCACTCCACTCTGGTTTTTTACTTCTTCCTGTGAACTGTTGGCGTTTACATCTTCTTAACCAGCCTGTATCTCTTTCAAGGGCATATGGCCCCTTGAGAGCCCCATAGGCACTTTAATGTCATCATATCCTAAAAAAGTATCTTTTCCTTCAAGCCAGTTTTTTCATGCCAGGAATCTGGATTTTCACTGACTGAACACTAATTAGGTAGAATTTTTTCCTCAATAATTCAATGCTCAACTGGGAGAAAATACTGCTCTTGAAGAATAAATGGACTAAAATATACTCAGCTATATTTTTTCCAGCTATATCTTTTAATGTGTTTTTAGTACTATTAATATCCAGTTTGACTTTACTCTGAACTAAAATTGTGTTTAGAATTTATCGATGAAGTAATTCTAAGGTTTTTCCCTCCCTGGAAAACAGATCCTCCAAATGTACACATTATTGGAAATCTACCTTTCAGTGTGTCAACTCCACTGATTATCCAGTGGCTTGAAAACATTTCGAATAGAAATGGACCTTTTGCTTATGGCAGAACTCAGATGACTTTGACTTTTCAAAAGGAAGTGGCTGAGGTAAGCTTTAACTTTTTTCTGGTTATTTGATCACATGGTCACATTCCCAGACAGTACAGCATTTTTACTCCAACTATGTTCTAATACAAACTCTATTATCCACAGAGAAACCCAGCAACAGCTCAGCAAAACTTTAACTTGTATGAGAATGACAGACAGCAGGGCTGGAAACTTCTAGGGAGAGTGAATGTAAATGATCTGTGTGAGCCAAGAAGGAGGTATGATAAATACAGACAAAGCAACCATAGACATGACCAGAGAAAGATGAAACCATTGTGTCAGCCATACAGTCGTTTACGTGGGGTTCAGAGAGTGGTATCTTAAAATTGATCCTTTGTGCTCAGTAGGATGGTAAAAATTATGGTCATTGACTTGGAGCCCAAAGGGTCTTACTGTCCAGCATGTAGACTTTGTCTTAACTGCTACCTTAGTGATGCATATTATGTCAGCCTCCCCCTGGCAAGTGTGTTCTGAGCCAAGTCTCCAGGCTGATGACAGGCAGCTCTCATGCTGCAGAAGTTTAAGGAGGGTATCTTACTACTTTTCTTCATTGCTGAGACAAAATACTCAAGAATGAAAGATAAAGAAGGAAAGGTTTATTGAGCTCACAGTCTGTAGAGATTTCAGTTGATAATCACTCAAAAGCAATGTGGCACAGGGCAGGAGATCAATAGTTCATGGCAGAAGAAGACAGCAAAAGCAACAAGAGAGAAAAGGCAGGGACAAGACTTTCTGTTCCTTGTATTGTATGCAAGCTACCCGCCCTAGGGCAGGTATAGCCGTCACACCCTTAATCCAGTTTTGAACCTTGAATTAATTACAACCTCTAAATTCACTGATCTCCAAAAAAGTATAAGATTGCAGAGACTTCAGAGGGATATCTAGACACAGACCACAGAGGGGAGCTGCAAGCTCTAAGTCTATCTCACTCTGATTACATCTCCTGTCCCTCATTATCCCTCGGGTAATTAGTATTGTGAATATTGGGTTTATTATTCCATTCCATAGCTTTTTATCACATGGACTTTATGTCCATTTGAAAGTATAGTTTTTATCTTTTTTTTAAACTTTATATAAATGAATCCATAAAGAGATGCAGTCTTTATTTAGAACATCTCTTACAGGATTTGCTTGTGTTATTCATAACTATTTTATTTTTATAGCATATATACCTCCCACTGATTGACATTTTTTTCATTCATTATTGTGTTTAAGGACCTAGAATTAGCTGTCATGAATGTTCTTAGATTTATGTCAGCTGGGCATATGCATGGAAGATTTCTGTAGAGTATATGCATGGAAGTAGAACTGCAAAATAACTCTTGCTATACAGTAATAAATTGTTTTTGGAGGTCATTTTGCCTATATATATCCCCACCAGCAGTGTGCACGAGTTCAATTTGTTCTATATTCTTCCCAGTACCTGGTACGGCTGGAGTTGCATGTTTGTTAATCTAGGAGTAATGATAGACTAAAGGAGTTTATGATTTTGTTTATGGTGTTTTTGAATGACATTGAGAACTATTTTATGTGTTTGTTGGACTTTGGGTATGTGTATGCACAGCTTGCATATCTTTGTTTTGGGCTACCTGTCTTTTATATATTTAATTATTCATTTATTTGGTACAGGGTCTTGCTACACAGCTCAGCCTCATAGTAATCTTCCTGCCTCAGCCTCCCCAGGGCTGGGATTACAGGTGTGTACCACCATGCCCAATTTCTGGGCTGGCACTTGGGGTTCTAGGGCTGGCACGGCATGCTGTACTGGTGATTGAACCTGGGTGGTTATGCTTGCCAGACAGGCGCTTAGACTGCTGAGCTATCTCCCCAGCCCCTACCTGTCTTTTCTTTTGGATTTAGAGTTCTCACATGTTCTTCATACAATTCCTCATTATTTAGACAAATTGCAGATTTCCTCTTCTGTTCTTTGACATGTTGTCATTTTCTTTTTACAATGTCTTAAAAATTATGCATTCTCATAAATGAAATCATTAGACTGTGATCAGTGTTTTCCCTTGCCTTGTTAAAGAAATCCTTTTATTTCTTGAGATCATGTAGATACACTTTCATTATCTTCTAAAAGCTTTATTTTTTACCTTTCACATTTATATCTATAATCCTTATGAGATTAAGTTTTTAAAACATTTTTATTTATTTTTTTCTGTGTTTTAGGGAAGGGTCTACAGGATGTTCAGGGTCTTACTACTAGATCGGACTCATAGTGATTCTCGTGTTTACAACCTCCCAAGTTGTGGGATTACAGGCGCATGCCACCATGCCTAGCCTATGAGATTAATTTTTATGTATTAAGTAGAAATCAGTTTCTACCACTTTTAACATATAAATCCCAATTAGTGCCATTTATTAATAAATCTGGCTTTCATGGATCTCTATCAGCACCTCTATTAAAGCATTGCTTCAATTAGAAGAAAATGATGTAAAATCCAGAGGGTGCATTAGAATTTAGAGGGGAGACTCCTCTGAAGCATTCAGATTATATTGGAGCCAATTAAAAAAGCGAGTTTGATTAAATATCTATCATGTTTCATATGTTGAAAGAATACAGAAGTCCAAGAGAGTTTAGGATTCAATTAGTTACAAATATTTGTAACTTTCACAAACAGAAGTTTCGGCAAAGTTTTATTGTTTGCAAACTCTACATCTGGTGATGAGCACAACCGTGGCTGTCATTCTTGCCCAAATGTAAATGTGGTCATCTTCAAGAATCATAGAATGAATTAAGTTTGTGAACCAAGGTATCACTATAAAAGTTGTAATTGTTTGGAGTAAAAAATACTATTTGCAGATACATAATTATTTTGAAAAACTAAGCAAAAGACCTGTTAAAAAAAATCTACAGATCTTTACTGAAAATCTCAAAAGTTTACTTAGAAAAATCATGAGAAATATGATAGTCCTGGAAGGAAAAATGATTATTGTAAAAGAAGCTGATTTTTTTCAAATAGGTACCTTTGTACTACATCTAATATAATCGTAATCCTTGAAGTATAGTGGTTATTCTTGGACATGCAAGAATATATGAGATATGTTGAAAAAGAATGAGAGATTCAGCCCTAGCCCAGGCCTGGTGAGTGTGCGGAGAGCTTCCTGCTACCCTGCGCCGGCGGGGACCGGTCCAGTCTGGTCCGGTCCAAGTCCAGATGCAGCATGGGTGAGACCCTCTTCCACCACCTTGGGACCCCCCCTCACTCCATAGTCACCCCCACTTCCGCCCATTGAGTGAGAATTTCTGCCGTGTTCTTAGGATCCCCAGATCCAGCTCTAGCCCAGGCCTGGTGAGTGTATGGGAGAGCTTCCTCTCCCCCGTACTCCACCTTGTCCCCTTCAGACTTAGCTCAGGCCTGGCATACAGCCTGGGGTGAAACTTGGCAGCTGCAGTCCATGCAGAGAGAGGAGGGGACAGAACCACCCAGCTAGTCCAGGAGCAGAACATCTTGCCAGAGGGGTACAACAGGTTCACTCCCAAGGGCGGCAGCAGGAAGCAGCTGAGCACAGCCACCAGACCCAAGCCAGGCACAGCTAGATAAATTCAGACTTTGTAGATCTGCGCCTGAATTTCAGTA